GTAATTTATTTTGTTAGACACATTATTTAAGTGTGAGTTGTCCGTTAAATATTCTGTTTTATTATAACTTTTTAAATATGCTGCTGCTTAGTATAAAATAAACAGTGGTAGATATTAAATTATCGATCTGTTTCTAAAACGACCAAAGAGAAATATTTTTTAATCCCTAATTGTCGGTTTTAAAGGGGGAAAATTAAGGATTGAAAATATTTACAGGAAATTTAAAATGTATATATCACTGCGGCAGGTGGGTCCTCTCTAAAAATATCCTGGGGGCATGTGGTATTTTTGCCACCACCCTGTCTGAGCCCGCTCTCCGGATATATTAGGGTAAAATAATGTTATTATTTACGAATAAAGTGCGATTCTGACTAATTATCCATTTATCTGCGCATGTATTTACATTATCCAAAATAGGTGGAGATAAATTCCAAAGTAGAAACAGCTTCGCACGTAACTCTCTTGTGATTTATGAGTCAAAAAACAGTCAAAATCTGTATGTGGACGTATTGGGGAAAGTATCGATCAGCGCACTTTTCTTCGAAGGGACGAATTCTTTCCAGAATATCTTTCCACCATTTAACAATAAGTAGATTAAAATGGTGGGAATAAAAGTTTCAAAAAATTAACGAAGTTAGTAACTTCTGAAACTAGACATTTTCGCTCGCTCGCGAGTAGAAAACATATCATCATTGCGTAAAAGCAGCAAAATTTTAAATGGTTTTTAATGCTAAAAAATAGTAAACACCCCCGGACTCTATCCTACCACTATTAGCCAAAAAGGTGGGCTCAACAAAACGTCCCACGCGGTAGTGAAGTACTACATTTATCTTCCAGATAGAACAACGCAAAGGGGAAAGTGCCTCTCCCTGCATATGCCGCTCATCTTTGGATAACCGGGAAAAAACACCTCATCCAGATGATGGGATTCACATGACTGTAGCTGTGATGAAGTTTATATTTTTAAACCACATGATTTGGATTGGGTGAAGAACAGTGACGAATAATAGTACATATGTGAAAAACAGGGATCGTACTGCCGAAGTTTCCAAAGTGATTAGTTTCAAGTTCTACTGTGTCACTCGTAAATATAGTACATGTCACCAAATCGAACTTCAATATACCACCGATGACGTTTTGCTTTGCACTTCTAAATTGGTCTGGAAGCCCTGCTGAAAGGCTTCACACCGGTGCTCTGTAATTAACACTAACATTAATGGTTGAAGTCCGGAATGTTCCGTTCATAATGCAGCTTTATCCACAGCATCTGACTAATGTGCAATTGAAACGAGCATATACACAGTTTTTGCCATGAGAATACACTTCTAAGGTATTATAGCGCTTTCTGATATAAAAAGTTGACGCCCTTCCACCGTTTGACAAAAGTTAATGTGGCTCATTATTTTCCAAGAGTAGTAAATATTTTTTGGTGTTGAAGAAAAAACAACAAAAAAGGAAAAGCTTATATTTTTAAAATTAGTGATATGGTCTAACATTTTGAAAGAGAGAAGCTAAAAGTAGGTATTCAACGATGATTTTGCCTAGTGCCTTTCTGAGAGAATATAGATATGCTTTTCTTTTAGAATTAATATACGTTTAAAGTACAACCAATGCATTATGGCTACCTTCGTAATTCATGAACGATTTTAGCATACAGAACAATGGCAATTCGGCGAGTGATCGATTCAACTAGGGTGCGGAAAGTATTCTGGAGTATCTGAACCGGGGGTGTCACAAGCGGAACATGAGGTTCTATTAGTATTAACGTGTTTGAATATACTACGTAGAGTGGCCGACCCTATGGTTTCAGCGCTCTTGGTGGACGCTTGCAGAACTACGGTTGGTCATGTTTTTGCTGTCAAAACACCAGAAGTGCCGGGTGGTGACGTGTAGAACTATTATACTGAATAGACGTGTTGTTTGTATCAGATATTTTTTCTCCAACGTTGTCTTTTTCGTGTAACTGTATTTAAACTATATTAATGGTTATAATTATATGCACAATGTTTTCAGAATGTGCAGCATATAACAGTAAAAAGAGAAGAAATCGAACTACAAATATGTCATTTTTCATATTTGTTGCCTTATTTGTGATCTGTTTCTTTGCTTCTTATTGCAATAACATCCCGTTTCAGGCGTCATACTAACTACAATAATATTTTAACAACTTCCATTCTTTTGACAATAACCTACAAAGGAAGCAACGTGGTTTTAAATCTTCTCAGTTACTTCTCCTTTCATACTGTGATTTCGTTTTAAATGATAGGTCGTGAGAAATCAGAGTAAGAATATATTACGTGCGTCCCGTGCCCACCAGACCTTAATCAGCGCTTTATGAAATACTAAAATTCCCCAGAGATCGCTTGCTTTGGCTACAAACAAAATGGTTTCAATTTGCTGCAAAGATGGCGGTGCTGTAGTCTCTCTATGTCTCCACGAAAGTCTCTTCGCAGTGACACCTTGCTGGAGAGAGTGCTTGCAACAAAAACGAGCTGCAGCTTATAACAAAAAAATGTAAATACTCACTCACACAATCAAAACAGATGCTGGAAGTGTAGTCCCCTTCACTTGTTTCCTACCATCGATCTGTTTGCTATCAACATAAATGCAATTTTTAATAGGAGGCCCTGACTCAATCCAGTGCGGAGAAACTTTCCTGGTGGTCTATATTCCAACTCGCGTGGCGATATGCGGCCTTAACTCGATGTGACGGGAGTCCGCTTCTCAAAGTCAATGTCGAATGTTCAAAAGGGTTTATATCATGGCTATTTCAATGCCAGGTAATTAATGCAAATTCTTTGTCATGTCCTTCAAATTGGCCGTTGTCGTTGCAATTAGGGCGTCATGATGACATTAATTTTATTTTCAACAATTTCCATATGCCGGATAGTATATAGGAACTCTTGTATTGGTGAAATAAACTCGAGAGTTTTCCACGAAAATATCATTAGGACCATTGAATGTTCTCTTCGAGTCAGTCTACGCCCAAGCGTGTACGATAATAACCGATGTCCATCACTCGGCCTACATGATGAACCAATAATCGGGATTCAACGTACCAAGGGGCCTTTTTCCAATCACGTACAGTCCATTGCCGATGACTTTGGGACAACATCATGCGCTGTAGTCCGTGGTGTTCCATTGACGTAAGAATTTCGACTCCACAGCTTCATCCATAACAGTGTTCGATGAATATTGTGTTATGAATTATGTTCGTCTGTCTGAAAACTGTTCGTCTTCTAACTGAAATTTATGTATATTAACTCGTACTACTTGAGTTCTCCAACATTTGTCAATTCCAAATTCCATAATATGTATTTCGAAAATGTTTTCACAATTCGCAAGAGTCGTTTTAGTTGCATAATTATTGCGGCATATTATGTCATTCATGTAAATCATTGTTATTAATATTGTATATTAATATTAATAATATTCAATAATAATAATCTATTATTTTTCGACCTGGAAGAGTGCAAGGTCTTTTCGTTCGTAATGACCATACGAGCTCAACTTGAGGGTCTTAATATGATATAATTAATCACATATTTGCTTCCTCAGGCAGTCTCAGAACAAGAGTTTTAGGTTTTTCAATAAATGCGTTCGAATGTGATATTCAGTGTATGAACTTCAGTGTATATGAATTTCAGTGTTGGTGCCTGAAGTTTGTAATCATACCGTTGCTCCTCTGCGCAGACTTTGAAAAGCAGTGGTTCGCTTAGAGAAGCCCCGAAAAGATGCTTGAGGAAGAAGGAGCTCCAAAAATTCAATTACGTTTTGCTAATAATTTATTACTGCACATTTGTGCTATGTTATTGTTGCCCAGAATAAGGTAATGTTCTAATTTAATAAGAAGTCAAGTTCATTTTATTATCATTAAAAAGCATTCACCTACTTCTTGCTAACTGATTTGCATATTCTCAGTATTTCTCTCTGAAAGACCATTTTATTTTTATGGCTTTTAGTTACACATAATTTGAGCATCTTCAATTTTTTACTATATGATAGAAGTACATCAGAATACAGTGGTGAAATGGAGACAATTGTCAATTTATTTTCATGAATAATAAAAGATCAGTTCCCTAGAAAGTCGTGACTGTTTGGCTGGCCACATTCATGCAAAAATCAAAATAAATAGTATACTACGTAATGAAGAAATTGTGGTAAGTTTGTTACGGACCTATCAGGTCAAATTAGGGACCAGGGTTTTATCTTTAATCTGTCGCTGGAAAGAGGAGAGCGTTAGCTTAGTGACTACCGTTAACCGGATGCGCAGCGGAGCATCAAATAAATAACTGCACAAACGATGTACTGCTAAGAAGAAATTTAAAAATGATGTTGGGTAATAAAATATTAGCGACTACATCTGTTCGACAGAAAAACTGAGCATATTACAAATAAAGAACAATTCAAAATTTAAGCATGAAGAAAGGATATTGGGGAAGAAAACAAATTATATTTACAATTAATACATGTATAATTTGCTGATATACAATGATTTATCAAACTATTGATTTTGTAAATTGTATTAAATATCCTATTAAATTAATAATGTTTATCATATTAAACGTTTTTGGAATTAACACATGTTTTTCATAATGCATGTATATTTTCAAATGTCAACCCGATTGCACCTTCCTTTACAACTTAAACCTTGGGCTACAGCAGTCATCTACAATATATTACTTATTTCCGATGAGCATAAAAATTGAAAGATCTACCTCTTGTCATTTGATTGGGTTATTTCGCCTATTATCTTACTACGCGTATCGAATGGATTCTTATACTCAGTGCCTAGCTGCTTACATCTTACGAGAAGATGTCACCCGACAGCAAGTCTTAAGAAAAAGGCCATCCGCCAAAAATTGTTATTCACGATTGGCGTTAAGAAACCTCAACTTTTTCATGCTCTCGGTAGGTAAAGAACTGTTGTATTCGAATGTACTGTTATATGTTATTGCAGTATTTGAGAAGGTTTTTTGTTCGAATATTCAATTATATAGGTGTTCTGCAAGAGTGTCTTCTTTGTTCTTCAGCAGAGTGCATACTACTTTTTGGAAAACCATTTTGTGTGGTTTGATCTGCAGCAAGTTTGTTGCTGCAAGACACTTGTTTTACTTCATTTTCTTGATCATTAAGTACAGGGAATATGCATAATTTCGTATGTTACGGTATTGACATACGGTATTAAATATCATTGATTTCAATGTAGTAGTATTACTGATAAAAAAAGAGTGTAGAAAATTCAATTTCCTTATATTGCGTTTTCAATTCCAAATCCTATGCGATCACCAAAGCATTCAATACACTCAAAATTTGAATTTATCATTGGGATACAGTGTTTGAAACACGTATTTATATCATAAATTCACGTCGTTTTAGTAATCTCATGTGCTTTGACACATACTAAAGATTATAACGATGTTCACTGATAATTTACAGCACAATAGTCTATGCTAGAAAATTTACTATCTCACTTCACCTTATCGTCTGCCATGAAGATTTCAACTCCTCATTTTGACGCTTTTATGTGCATGGCGATATTACATATTTTTTAAATATATCTTAGTTATACTTTGACCTTCATTTAACTTTAGAAAACACTTCAACTCGCCTTCACGTTTCAGCCTGGTATTCCCCACGCTTGTAAACACAAGCTTGTTAGAAGTTTAACAAGTTGGTTCATTTACGTTTTGTTGCAGCTTCATTCACAATTTTATCACGATTTCCATAAGTTGAAACCGTAGTTACCACGTTAATTAAGTTCCACATTGGGACTGCAGAGGTTAATGTAGTTACAATTCAAGATTTATTTTCTTCTTGATGTACCAGGCTCTAAAACTGAAATATACAATTGCAGCCCTCCAATTTTCAAATAAAACTACATTTACGAATAGTATTTTCTTTGATCTATCCATTTATCCGAGTGTATGTGTCATACATTCGTCGAGATTTTTCAATCGTCTCTTATAAATACGTCTATTTACACCAATATATATAGCGACCTCCTTGACGGGGGAATTGGGTCTTAGCCGCGTTCGGGGCGGGTGACGTCACGAGGACGGAGACTTCAACGCAGCGCGGCGCGGCGCCTTGCGTAATGGCGGATTGCATAAACGCGACGCCGCGGCTTAGGCGTGTCCGCACTATCGGCTGCATTGAAGGTGAACCGTTCTGTTTACGCTGCAGACGGCGCTGGACACCGCGCAGGTGGTGGTAGGGGTGGCGGTGGCGGCGGTGGAGGAGGCGATGGCGTTGGCGGTGGAGGCGATGGCGTTGGCGGTGGAGGCGATGGTGGAGGCAGCGATGGCGGCGGCGGCGGCGGCGGCGGCGGTGGCGGCAGTGGCGGCAGTGGCGGCGGTAGCGGCGGTGGCGGCGGCGGCGGCGGCGGCGGCGGAGGCGGCGGTGGCGGAGGTGGCGGTGGTGAACGCCGCCAGTTCACCTTAAGCACCCGTCACCTTCATTACGCTCGCAATATGCCAGAGGAGCAGTGCCAGAATCCTACATGGCTCCGTGCTCTATATACATTCTGTGATCTCAATATTTCAATCAGTGGCAAACAGAAGTAAACTAGAAGCCTACAGGAGCAAACATTCTGCTGAACAAATTCACACAAAATGATTTTTCCAAACGTGTCACGCACGCTGGTCAAGAACGACAAATAAAATACTCTTGTACAACACAGCAAGACATTAAATATTTTTACTATTGTTGTTCTATAATAGCATGTGAGTAGCAAATTATTAATGGCGCGTGGCCTCTACCTTGAAGCCTTGTTTTACCATTACACACTAATATCATAAAATTTCAGTCACACGATATGAGAATGGGCGGAATAACACATTTGCATTTTTCAGTCAAAAACGAAAGTATTCTTTTTTTTTAATTTTCCCACGAGGTTCTGGGTACCTAACCATAGACCTCTCACATGGCGGGAGGCTGCTAAGTTTTCTTTCAATTTCTTGAATATCACGCCTTTTCGATTTGTACGTATGTTCGATCTTTAGTGGTCGTTGTCGGAAAAGTAATTCGTTCTAGCAAATTGAACACCGCATTGAGTTCTTTGGTGAAAGGAAAGATTTAAGAAAGGAATTGTTTGCCCGTAGAACTGAAGTAGACTCTCCAAGCGTTACTAATTTCTATAAGTTTCTGGATTGTAATTTCTTTGGAAGTAATCGGCCAGCAGATTGTCATAGACTTTTAGTAAATAAGAATGGTGACTATGTGCATATTTTACCCTTGTAATTATTCTACGTAATCCATATACCTTTTTCTTCCACAAATATTGCCGCTAGGCAAAAAGAATAGTACATTAAATTCTCGATCTAGTTGTTTAATAGTATATTCGAAACCTCTGGGATCATTTATCTAGTTAACTGATGAATCAGAATTATAGTTTTCTTGTTGTAGATATTTCCTAGTCACTAATGTTCTGCATTAACATACCTTTCGTAATTTAAATATCATTGAGTTGCAATCAAGATTCTGATTTATATGTACATACCGGTATAATAGTATTATGCAAGTTATGAGCCAAATTACGCGGATAACGTAACTGAGAGTGAAGGTCATTCTAATCGACTAGTGATACACAAATGCACCTTAGTTTTTAATAATAACTCGTTCGGAGTTTCATTTTCATGTATTCTTGATATTCGATATGCAACGACGTGGATTCTATTGTACGTTTCCTACATTTTTTTAATTATTTGATCCAGAATGGGTTTTAAATAGCCTTGAAATCTGTGGTTATTTTTAAACTAATATAAATTGAAAATTTCTGTGTGGAGCAGAACGGAGCAGGGCAAAGCGGATAGGGGCGAAGCGAAGTGAAGCAGGGCGGAACAGCGGTGGCGGTGTTAGTTAGGTTGTAAATTACGTCGCTTTAATTTCATGCTATTGATAGAATACGTTCACCATTCGTAATGCTATAGTGTTAAAGACAAGATGTTATGGAGGCTTTTTGGCACCAGATCTTATGATCCAAAAGTTGCATCTTTAAATCGTATGTGTACTTAAAATAAAATCGTCAAATCAAATGAGAGAAAGAAAATTAATTTATTTTTAATTGTTTTGGAATGATAATTATTTACGATATGAGTGGTAAAAGTGGCTTTGTATTTTGCGAGAAAAAGCAATTGTGACACGAGGTGAATAGAGCAAATGGCGCACTCGAACGAACCAAATCAAATCATTTTATCACGTGTGACATACTCTATTTTTAGACTGAAGTAGTATTATATTTTAATTCAACATCACTAGTGATGCATTAAGCACAGTAGCTGATGCGGTCAGACGAAAGTATTTTGTATTCATTGTTACATTCGCACATTTCTCTGATCACTTGAACAGCGTGTCACTTTTAGCCCTTGTGCTAGACAATGAATGTGTACCATCTTTGCATGCCTGTTAGAACCGCTTTTACTACCGTCTGTCTAAAAATATTTCATTACATAATTTTGTCCAACGATTGTATCATTATCAAGGCAACTTCGTACGTGCCTAAAGGCAATGAAAACATGTTTTCAGAGACACTGTAAATAAAACCATAGAATAATAAACCTTAATGAATGAATCTATTGTTTCAAATTTAATGAGTCATAATACGTGACAACATGCACGTTCAAGATGTTTCGTTCTTTTGAGTAAAAAGTTTTAATATTCTATTCACTAACGTTAATTTACTCTTTTTGTCACTTATATATTTGATTTTCGATAAACAACGTACTAACGCAAAAAATAAGTTGCAAAACTTATTACTCTTATGAAATTCTTACATTTCTGATTTGTGCATGTACCAATAGAATTTATCAGTAAATTTAATGACGAAGGAATTCCCGAAGCAACTCAGTGGTCGAGATTCTGATGCTGAATGACATGAACAGTTAAACAAATAATCGTATAAATAAAAATCAAATTGTAGATATTGAAATTTAGCGTAATCATAGTTTGAAATATATTAACTTTCCCTTCAATAATTTCTTTATTTAAATATAATATGAAATAATATATGTTTTTATTCGCATAAATCCAAGGCCCCTTATAATATGCTACTCCAAGGCACACATCTAGGAGATAAGATGTCCAGCCTCATTTATTACTGCTCCCAATATTGAATGAGTCCTGATTCTCAATAACCAATAAGATGTCTTGATGAAGTGACAAATCATATGCGCGTTAGTCAGGTTTTCCATATGAAAACATTGAGATAGGTTGCCCAAAGATATTATTTTGTAGCAAGACAACTTGCATCCACATACCGTCGATCAAGCTCTTCCGAATACGGAGGTATTTCTCGTATGTATTTCATGGTGTCATTTCATTTCCGAGCAACCCGAATACAGATCCAAACTTGTCACGCCTAATTACTACATGTTTGGCCAAGTCAAAGATTATTTAAAAAGCATCCGGCTTATTAGTGAAGAAGTGCGTACATACATGGCTTGCTGTTTAATTGAAAATACCTTTTTTCTGGGAGAATCCGAAAACTTGTTTTATGATGGATCAAGAACATTAAAAAGTATCGTGCTTATGTTGAGAAACTGTAAATTGTAAAAAAAATTGTTTTCGTTTTCTGTGTAAAATGCAAATATTTAATTGTTTTATCCCACCTAATCTCATACAGCGGATACCGACTGAATTCTCATTACCAGAGCGCCACTGCTTATGATGCAGTAGACATTACGCAACAGAAAAGCGCCAAGAGGCCATCGACCATTAAACATTTGCTATTCAAGAGATGCGTTATGGAAAAGCTATTTTTTCATACTCTTGGTTTGCAAATAAATGTTCTATTAATTATTTGTGAAGCTTTATTTTGTTAACATTTTAATTTATTTTATACAATGGTATTTTACTTGTTGATTTTAAGCACTGTGAGTGCAATTTTTGAAAAACCATTTCTAGTGGTTTTGATCAAGTGCATTGTTTTGCTGCTGCTGTTATTCCAAAATTCATCTACTCAGTATGGAATTCTGAACTAGAATCCGTTTCTTTCCTCTCGAAGAAGTAGTATCGCGATATGTGTTTCGGAAGAAAATGTGTGGCCCTTGGCACCATGTAGGTCATCGAGGAAGTACAAAGTTGGCCAATGCCGGAAAGAAGCAATAACCTTCTTCCTAAAACATTGCAGCCCAATTGAAGCCTTGTCCTGACATCCACATACAGCTGGAATCTATGAAGGCCGTGAAAAATAGGTCATCTAAGAATGTGAAATCAATATTACCCGGGCCAAAAGATCCACGACAGAACAGGATACGGGAAGGAGAATCGCATGCAGCCCTGGACCCGTTTAGAATATCTTGTATCATCGTTCTAGATTTCATGCAAGACAATTGCGTGAACCATGTATCAGGAGCTCAGTTTAATTCATTCAGCTGCTTAGCTAGGGTTGAACATCGAACCTCCCATTCCTGCAAAACGTGTGTAAATGGCACGCCAATACGATTCCGACTAATATAGAAAGATGGAGATCCATATCGTACTTGTAGCATCTAAAAGCAATCCGAAATATGCGCAAGAACATTAAATCCTCCCATAATTCCCGTTTAAATCATATACAGAATTTGTTTAGCCGGGAAGCTTATTTATCAAGCAATAGATAAATAGCACAGAGAATTTCATTGTAGCACTCCATGGTGGCTCATATTGAAGTCGCAAACTGGCAACTTTGGTAGCATATAGGTGTCGCCTAGTAAATTCCCAGTAATATCAACTTATTTTGGAAGGAGATGTGGTACAATGGATCAATATCTATTTACATGTGCATTACAAACAAATAATATTTATTTATTCATAATGCTAAAGACGCTTTAAAAATTACCTCTTTAATCATCTAAGGGCGACCATATTTTCTTCTCTCCTGGCCACCTCAGGCAGTGGCGCAGGCCCGCATAGTGGCACTGCATCCAACTATTTGTTCTGACGTAGCCTAACACATTTTGAATCTTACTAAAAATTAAAGCATGTTACACACAACGATAAATATTTGTTATTTAAGAAAGAGTATATCGTGTGGTACAGCATTCGTCTCGTTGATAAAATCATCTCATTACCGTCATGTAACAAAGTAATATTATTTTAACATTGAGAGTGATTTTCATTGAGAGCCACAGAATAATTTTGCTCTATGGCTGGTCATACCTCCCGCAAACACAGCGCACTTCCCCTGTGCTTCACGCGACGCTCTGGGAGAGTTAAAGGCGGTCGGCCGCCTCGCTTTGCTCCACCGCCCCACGGCGAGTGCGAGGTCGTTTCTCCCATCACCTTGCTACCGGCGGGGGGGGGGGCTGTCGTGTAGCGGTCAAACCTTTGCCTTCCCCTGCTGGAAACGAGAGAGGTGGCTCAGAGCATCAATGAATGTCACTGCAGTATCTCAAACAGGGAAGTCTTATGTTCGAGTCGGTTGCAGGATTTTCGACAAAAGCTAGACAGCTAGGTCGAGTACGGTCGCTGTCTGGAGAATTCTGGCGGCCGGCTGCCCTGAACTATAGTAATCAACACCAGGCAAATGCCTAAGCAGTACTCTAACAAACGGGCTACGAACTTCGCGCGATCTTTCTTTCCTCTTCCTTGTCCTGACTTCACCCCTTACTTACACACACTTACACTAACATGCATCACACTACAATACATGCTGGTAGACCGGTCGGGAGATTAGAGCGTGCCCGGTTGGGACGGTGCCCCGTTGGCGAGAGATACCTCGTTAGGGAAAACTCCGCAAGCCGGGGGTGCGTCGGCGCCGGACCTCGCCATCCAGCAGGGAAAGATCACCGCCACCTCACGAGAAAAAAACCATGCATCACACTTACTGCACTAATGATCTTAGCAGTTGACGCGTCTGGGATTACTAACAATCTATCACTCGATCCACTGCACGAATCGGGGTTCAGTTCCCTGTCGATCGGAGGGAGTCGATCGTCATTGGAGGTGTACAAAGCGGTGCGTGGTAGGATTTCTCGGGTTTCTCCCGTCTCTTTGGCATGTCATTCCTCTATTGCTCCACTTACGTTCACGTTATATCTGAATAGGTGTCTATCAAATCCTTTCTAGTATGACCGTATATCCTAGGCACTGGACACCAGGTATAAACGGACTCATGAAATTCTGACCGCACGTGTCTTATGGGGTATATGCCCCCTCTACCAATACGCCACTGGCTAGAAGAGCAAGACTTCACGTGCCAACCGGCTTCCTGTAAACATTCTTTATAAAAACATCATGTTGTGTAGTGAAGGATAGTGATGTATTACTTCTGTAGAGGTCATGGTTCACCAATTCACATCTATTTTACGATCTGATATATGCCTTCTTGTGTTCGAAAAGTTATAAATGCTAAGCAATTTTATACTGTTTTGTTGCTAACTTCATACTACGATCTTTATCATCCCTCGTTTTCTCAAATATCTAATTCTCATGTTTCCTCTTGTTCACCCTCTACTCCTAGTTTTTTTTACCTTATTTAAAGTCGCCTTAACAGCTAGATCATTAGCGAGCAGTACATATTTACGATAGGGTTAACAGCATGATTTTATATGGTGAAAGTGAGGTGTGAAAGGACAAACACAAATAGAACTATACTCGAGGTGGGACTCGAACCCGCGATCCTTCAGACCGAGATCGCTACGGAACTACTGCCTTGACAATCTCAGCCGTCCAGGCGACTTTCCAGTCTTTGTATCTCCTCTTAGTGCAGTTCTCCAAAAAGGTTCTTCATGCTTTTCACCCATTCCCGCTACCTCTGGAAACTTTTCATTTATGCCTGCCTGAACAGTTCCTCCATTCTTTGGTTCCCTTTTGTAAGTCTTCAGGTTTATCTAGCTTTGCATTTTTCATCTTAACCTTCATCTTGAAGTTCTCCGCATTTTTAACTTCGCTTTTCCGCGTTCTTTATTTTGGCCTTTGCCATCTCCGAGTTCACCTTCGCCTTTGTTATCTCCAGCGTCCTCGCGTACTCAATATACTCGCTTTCTCCATCCTCTTCGCCTCTTCTGTACCACCACGATTTCTTGCCTGCACATTTCCTACATTCGTTCTTTCCTTGTCATTGCTTTAACTTTTCTTAGTCTTCTGTGATGCTTTCACCTTCACCTTCATCGCCATTTCCATGTTCATCACATTTAAGATCGCCCATTTCTTCCTCTTGAAATTCTCGATATTTCTCGAATTCTCTCTTTATCTTTAACTTCTTTACCGCTTTCTCAGCCTTCCGAGTCTTGTCTGCATTCTCTATCTACTTTGGGTACCTATCTTATTTTTACTTCTCCATTATTAAACTTCTCCCTTTTTTCTTCCTCTTCCTAGCGTCTCTGACCAGAATGTTGAAGGCTTCGTGTCTCGATGGTGGTCGATTTTCGACACTATCTACAGAGCTGGATCGACTCGGGCGCTGTCTGGAGGAGAATTCTAGCGACCGATCGCTCTGCATGGAAGTTTTCGTGGTTTCTCGAACCACGCGAATACCGGAGCACAACAATAACAGAAGCTCTCAAACCACGCGTGATCTTTCCTTCCTCATCCTTGTATTCTCCTCTCCCCTTCGCTATCCTTCCACTTACGTATGCTACACTACCTCATATATCGGAAGATCAGTCTAAAGCTCAGACCTTACCCCGCTTGGTGAAGTGGCCCACTGGGGGAGACACCTGGAAGGGGTCAACCACGCAAGCCGCCAAGCACATCGGCGCCGAATTACAACTTACTATAGATGAGGATAAGCGCTATCTCGCGTCTATCACACGCAGTACACTCACGGGACCAGGACGGAAGTAGGAGAGTGTATGATTCCGCGGCCGGAGTCAGTGACTACGGGGCTGTCCGTACTTGGCTGCCCAGGAGGCACTGCGTCCTAGGCACAGGTGCCAACATTTCGACCGCTATTCTGCGACCTTCTTCAGGGCAAAAAGTATTTTCTCTAGGATGAAAGTAATTGTTGCGCCCGGAACCATTAAGTGCTCACTAACTCATTCACTGTACCTTTCCCCATCTTTTGCTTTTATCCACCTTGCGTACTTTCATTGCTTAGCACCACAATCGCCTCCGCCGTGTCGGCCACCGCACCGACCTTTCGCCAGTCCGCGGCGGCGTTGTGGCGGGGCCGACGTGCGGCGCGCGGGTAGTAGCGGGCGGGCGGCGAGGAACGTTACGTAAGCCGGTTTCTCGAGAGCCCCGCGGCGGCCGCGGCCGGGTGCTCGAAGGCAGCGGCGCCGGCGGAGGAGAAGGAGTAGTGGGAGGAGGAGGGGGAGGGGGTGGCGGTGGCGGCGCGGGCGTGCGGCTGCAGTGTGGCGCCGGCCCCCGTCCAGCCCGCAGCCGTCGCTCTCCGGGCTCCGCCGCCGCCGCAGAGCCCCCGACACGCGACGTCCGCGACTCGTGCAACCACCCGCCCGGCACACGCTGCGACCAGGCCCTGCCCGCTCACGAAGGTGCGTCTGCGCTCTCCCACACTTGGCGGGCGCTGCCTCGAGTGCTTGTGGAGTGCCGGACATGCGCGTTGCGGCCGAGTGCGCGTGCGGCCAGTGGAGGCGCTGCTTTGTTTCCGTGTTGTGCTTGTGACAGGTGTTGATGTCGGTTTGGTGTGTTGTGCCTTTCTGACGGTCGAGTTTTCGCAACGTCTTGTCTCTTTTAATGTAGTGTTGGTGTTGCTTGACGTCTGCGTGTTAGCAACTGTGCTAGTGAGTTGTTTTTTCTTTTGTTTGACAGCTAATTTCAACGAAAGTTTCATACATTGTTTTATACACGTTTACTAAATATCCCTAGTTACATACAATTGGAATTTAGAGTAAAACAGTGTGCGTGCATTGCATATTTTTTTACACGAAAAAACTTCGAGTTTGTTTTAATTATCTCACGAAAGTGTTGCTCACAGGCCGTGCTCTAGTTCAGAGGTGTGTGCTTTGGGCTGTTTCTGACAACCTCTCTGGTCAATCGGCATGACGTGCCAACGAAGATTCAGTGCAAATTATCAGAGCGTGTTTAACAATATATTGGTGGGAAGTCTATTTGTGCTATTTCTTTGCTCAAAAGAGGTAGCAACGTTTGAGGAAGGACGGAATATATATATTGAAAAATATGCCTTCTTAAATACGTAAATATCCTAATGTAAACCTTAATGATTGTTGCTAGAAACTAATGGTTGAATGCGCATATCTCACGAACTGCTTGGGAAAACAAGTACTTGTTTTTCATCCTCGCATTAAAGACGGGAAGAAACGAGCTCTCCCTGACCGTAATTGTGGTTTACATTGTGAGGACTCACGGTAAGGCGCATTGCAGAACGCACAAAGAATGGTTCCTGACGGAAACTGTGAGCTGAGATCTTAAAGATTACTTGAACAATAATTCCGGCCGAGGATTACACTCGGAAAAACCTTTTTGAGCATTATAGGTCAGTGCTGCATGCAATTCTGTTCGCGTGTGTGGGGAGTGCAAAGAAGTCCTTTGACACTGTGAAAAATCCGATATGAGGTTTGCGGGAGCAGTGTGAACGGCGTGGTGTCTTGTATGTTTTATTTGTTGAACGTCAGCTGCGGTCTCACAGTGTGGGTTATGCGGGAACATGGGGTTGGGTTCGTAAAAGCACACCCGCTCTCGGTCGGTTCATTAATTTCTGTGCACCGCAGTTATCCATCGCAATATTTGAATACTAATCACTATATGGTAAGCATTAAAATCTGTTGTGATGGAAACGTGTTTTGTGGTCGTGACGAGTAATTCATTTAAAAATGCAACGGCGCGGTAAAATGTGGCAGTCTCTTTTGTACCAATTCGTTTATTACTCTCAACGCCAAATTCTAAATATTTATTGTTGTAACAAATCTAATTTGTTTTGTGTAGTTCTATGTATTGGTTGTCCCGAAAATTGCCTCAGTGTTGTTTGAACCCTGAATAGAGAGAAACACCTGTACATCCATTTAGATGCATGAATCACTGTATTTTAACAACCCCTGTAAATAACCTTCGTAAACTTTATATACCAATTTCTCTTCCACACGATCTAATAAATAGTATGTTCAACCTCTTAATGACAATTGTGTCCACTGACAAGCAGGTAAAGTAATTACATGAGTACATTTTTTGACTTGTTTTCATAAATATTTTAGGTTCTCCCTCGTTCATACGCACATCAGATTGTATTAGAAAAATGTTTAAAGGGATTCCCCATCAAATGAAATGTCAATGTAAATCGTAAGATTCGTTTTGAAAAAAACAAGAAATCATTTCGCGTAGACTCTTCGTTGTCGGAAAATTCAGAAGTAAAACTAATCGAGTTTATTTCTATTGAATGCAATTCGATTCCATTGTTTTCGACATATCTATCCTACGTGCGTTCTGCAGAAAGTCTGTTTTATAAAACATTCTAACAGTGTTTTTAAAAGTTGCTTTCAATTTATTGAATTAAATTCTGACCTCATTTCAGGGTTTTGTTTGAAATATTTTTTGATAGGAACGTATAGACTTCCAATACCTAAATGTCTCTACATTTGATAATTATTTAGTCATTGTTACCTACCAATTAAATTACTCTATCTCCGAAATGTAATACACTCTCTTCACGAGCTGATTTGTTGAAAACCGTATCGTGAAAATACCCTTTAATGAATGAATTTATGATAATTAACTAAACACAAATTAAGCTGGTAAATGATTGTATATCACTGTATTTTGGAAAACATTATTTTTACTTCTTATTCATTAAAGTTTCAGATCTTGAAGATTTATAACGCAAATTAAAGACAAATGATACATCCATTTTCGATATATTGTCCTAATTTCGTGAATTATTATTTTATGAAGCTTTTATTTGCATTGTTCTAAGGGAAGTTTGGTGGTCCTCATAGAGCAGTCAGCAGAGACTAGGACGAAAAATTGTGGGTTCGAAATACGCGTAATTCCTCGAAGTCGGCTTCTTATGATTGCAGCGATTTCCAGAAGGGTGGTCCAGAGTTTCAGTCTTCTTGCTTCAGACCCCGATTTAACAGAGGCTCCGAAAATACTGCACAGAATTCCGCGATGCAGTATCGAAATCGATCATTCACATCCATAATTTAATCGATTGTAAATGGGAGGAGTATTTTCTTGTAGTAAAGAGCGCGCAGTTGATTCACTTTCCCAGGTCTATTTATTTCATATAACGTCTCTTATGATTGTGCAATTGTAGACCACATATCCCATAATACCATTTCTACCATCATTCATGGTCTCGTTTTTACTCGAAAATATTTATTTTCATAATCATAATTTGTTTTTATAATATTGGAAGGTCTCACCCGAGGTAAAATGCCGATAATTACAATAATAAAAATACTTGTAAAATAGTTAGGCTCATTGGGAAAGAACCTTCTTAAGAAATTCACGGGCAGCTCAGTGTTTCGATGCTCCGCGTCTTCTCGCAAAGGTCGGCGTGAAGGGGCCGCCCACGAGGTCGTGAATCGTGACGTCCGGGAAGAGCAGGTGCAATCGTTTCGCTGACCGGAAGCCTCCTGCACCGTTTTTTCCTGCCATGACGACTGAGGTGAAGAGAAATGTTTGACGTGGGAGCAAACAAAGGTTGACTGTCTCGTAAAATTAGCACACTATGGCATTAAAGGTTGACGATTACTGCGTACTCTTTCGACACTTTCACGTCGTCACACTTCTTGACGCTTCTTCGCGAATTGTTAAGTATTGGAAAACTGGGTAAACTGTCATGTAGTGAAACGGTCAGAAGAAATGAAGGATACTGAGAACATTCCATAAATATTGTTTTTTTTAAGTAAGGAACTTTTCTCTTATCCTCACGAATTAGAAACACATGAACTCTGTCTCTGAACTAGTACAAGTACTACTTCAGTTGGGGGGTTGTGATTAAACTGCATTTTGTTCTTTCTGACAGCTGCATTATCTCTGTTATGTCTATCACTTTCGGTTGCATTCTTACGAGAATGAATGAATAGTGATTTAAAAATCGATATGAATAATTACTTAATTCTACCTTTTAAATATTTGCATGTAGGTTTCTGGGATGTGTATTATACATAGAATTTTCAGCAGTTGTTGCAATGATATTATTATCCCATATCCACCAACTCTATCCCCGTTCCGTCTGTGTATATGCAAATCCCTAAAGTAGTCTGAAGATATTATAATTATAACGTAAAACCATTCTACCAGAGGATCCGTGTGTTCGTTCCGCACATTGTGAATAATTATTATTTGAAAAGTGAAACGGTTTCATGACGAGGCCCAACATCGACGAATACCCTCCAAAACGTAATACAAAATTCAAAAATATTTTATTGCGTATATTACTTTCTAAACATAACATGAAGTATAAGAAATGGATTTAAACCGCATCATTTCCGAATTACACATGATGGGGAAATGTGTTTCAGAGTAACGTGTGTAGTTGGTCGCTGGCTCAGGTTTCTCCCTGAACCTGAATCTTCGAACTTACATTTTGTTTCGGGGAAAGTATGTTTTATGTAGGACTGAGGGTAATTCCGTATCTATCAGAAGCATATTTTGGTATTTTGCCGATAGTTTCTTATAAAGGGTACAAAACCAATATTCGTCTTTAGCGTATTAAATGAAGAGGGTTATCATTATTGCAACTACCTCCACCCCTACACCACCACCACCACCACCACACTACAACCACCACCACCACACTACAACCAACACAACCACACTATAACCACCACAACCACACTACAACCACGACAACCACACTACAACCACGACAACCACACTACAACCACCACCACCACCACCACCACACTACAACCACCTCCACCGCCACCACCATCTCACTACAAGCACCACCACCACACTACAAGCACCACCACCACACTACAAGCACCACCACCACACTACAAGCACCAACACCATATTACAATCACCGTCACACTACAACCACCACCACCACCAAAACCACCACCAGCATCTCTACCACTACCACCACCATCACTATCATCATCATTACCATCATTATTCCCTTCCTCCCTTATGTTGTAAGGGCCTACATCTCCCGAGCCAGCTCGTGAATCTGCGAAGAGCTTCGATGTTTGTCGCACCAGCGCCGCCTTCGCACAATTCCCCTACCCTACCTCACCCTTTCGGCCGCCAGCGCCCACTCACCCGTGAAGACTCCCATAAATTGTGCACGCTTTCCTGGAGCTGCTTTTTTCATGAGAGCGACGTGTGAGGCCGAGAGTGGTTGTCGAAGTTGCCGCACGTTGGGTGCGCTCGAAATTGCAACGAACAGGGTTCGTTTTCACACGCGCACCTGGCGCTCGGGTTCCGTATTGTTCAATATTTGATGCGCTGAGCTCGCTGAGGAATCATCGTATAAATGTGCAATATTCGCGGGATGTGTGTTTTAATGAAGGGAACTGTTTTAATGAAAGTGGTCTCGCGTGTATTTTTTACTTGAATGAATTACATTGAATTTAATGTGATTCACAGTTTCAGGGGATTCGTCTGTAATGTGCGAGTGTAGTAATTTTCCAGTGGCCACATAAAGAGAATAGTGGCTTTAACGTCATGTGGTTTTTAAGCGCCAGGGTATGTTTAAACTGTTTACCTGTGATTCTATTCTGCTAGTGACTGTGAACAAAAAAAATATAAGATGTATTTTGCTTGATTTATTAACGTACTACTATCCAATAACAAAATCAGATGGGTTTCACTCTTCCCCTCTATCGGATATGTCTTTTCAAAATTAATTCTATGTATAGAAATATGATACATATTTTCAGATATCATCTGAGATAACTTGTGCAGAACATTAAAACGAAAATGCATTTTAACGCAAAACACTGGCAGCATGTAAAATGTGCTGGAGCGCTCTCTGTATCAAGAGAATATTCCCATATTATTACAATATGAGTTCTACTCATATTATTTTTAGTCAAAGATAATTTTTAATTGAAATTAAAATATTTAGATTACTTTTTTTCCAAAACATTTGAGAGATAATAATAGAAACTACTTTCTTACACCGAAACATCTATACTGAATGCCATGTAGCGTAACATAATCACTAATAGAGTAAAGAAGATTATTATTGATTGATAGAAATGAATAACTGTGTCCTGAAAATTAGTATAAGAATTAATAGTTCGTAGGGAAGTAAAAGTACGCTTTTATAACATTTGTGATAATTTGATCTCTGTGTATTATACAATGCTGTTCGGTGTCCAAAACATTATTTGTTAAAAGTTTGTTGTGACAAGGGTGAATACATAAGCGAAATTTGTAAATACCATAATTACATCATTATCAGACTGCATTTTATCGCGGTCACCTTGGCCACGAGACAGTGTTTTCCTTATGTTCATGAATATCTTAATAGCTTCCTCATGCTCTCCTAATGAAAACGCTAAGTAAAGCAGTCACAACTGCCGAACAGTTCACACCTGTTGTTCGTGGTACTGCGTTGCACTTCAGTTGGTAAGAACGTTAAGAACAAATAATTGTTATTCGCATGCACATAAAACTTGGTACTAATGTTTAGTTTTAGAATAATACTCGGGAAATCTCTGATTATTTTACTTAAAAACTGAAAGTGGTGGCCTCAAATTCACTGTAAGTGTCATAAGCTCAAAAAGTGTCTAGTTTACTCAGACACGTTCATTAAACCTCTTAGATAATGAATGAATGAATGAATGTTTAATAACTAGCCAGTAATGATATAGAAAGGGAAGGAGATGGTTTATGGAGAATTCTTCCATGAACTGTGAGTGCAGCTTGTGTGAGGTAACTAAATAAGTCCATCTGAATACTCGTCCACGTACCAGCTCACTTATCGCGTCGATGAAATGCCCCAATGATTTGGTGGACTAATATTATTAAATGTGTTATATTTTCCTGTACCTTAGTAGCGATCGATATGGATGATCGGTGACTGGATAGAGATTAAAGACGAGATGAATAAGGATCGTGCTATAGATAAAAATGCAAAGATGCAAAGAAATACTAGGAAGAGTTTCTGCATAGCCTGATCGAATCCATAGTGTCTACCATTAATCTTAATGGGGTAGTCAATTGATTTGTTATTTTGCCTTCCCCGTCCGTCAACTGCTATGGTCATTAGTTCCATAAGATTAGTGTATGTTATAAGCAGTTTATTGGGGTGTTCCTCCTCTGCCGTAGCGTTAGATTCAGCGCCGAACTACACGTTGCCTTCTCCGGTTTACCTCTTTCAAGTAACTCCGGGGAGCCTCTCCACCTGGGACAAGCTCTAAGCTTCTAAATATGTGGTAGTGTAGTTCAGTACATGTAAGAATCTAAATAACAAATATATGAGGCCATGAGGTAACAATAATGAAAAATCAAAGTACTCGCGTGGCCCGTTGCCCATTTGTTAGTATTCTGCTCGGGAATTCGCATTGTATTGAAAAGAGAACTACCAATGAGAGCAGCAATCAGCTAGAACTATCAATAGACAGTGAATGCTCAGCTATTTAGCTAGAGTCAAAAAGTTACAATCGTAGGACTCAGTAACAGAGATGTCCTGAATCATCTCATCCGATGGAATAGTTAAAATATGAACACCGAAACCCAAAGGTGGACTGCAGGTTTTATTTGAAATAGGGATGACGTGCGTTTCCAAATAAAGAATCATGGTGCTTCGATTTTGACGATCTGTCTAGAGGAGGCATACTTGAAAAGTAGTCATCATTAGTTGATTGTGATTGTAAAGTACACTAGTATCTGTCGTTGGAATGGGAAGGCTCAGCAACTCAATAGAAAATAAACATCACGAAGATGAATTGAATGCAGATGACGACTTGTTGGGATGATAGGATAACTTCGACATACGAAGTATCCATAACCATGATGTGTCTACATTAAATTCTACCTCGTGTGAAACAAGTATTAAGTGTAATACTCATGGGTGATAAGTCAACCAACGGGCTGCAATATGCTCCTACAATTTCCCACTTTTTTAGGTGGGTGAATTTGGTTTAAACTTCCAAGCAGGTCGCAATGGCTTGCATTTCTGGGTGATTTTAATGCACTAATTTGTCTGTAATTGACGCTATTTTTGAAGTCTTTCTTTATCACTTATTCCTTATTTCGATTTCTTTACTGATCTGTTGCTGACGACACCTGCGAAAAAATATTTTATAGCTAGTTGATAAACTTCTGGATAAGGCAAATGATGATTGAAGGTTCAACAATTTCAGAGGCAAAGACAATGGAATAACGCCGATAAAACCTTTTTGACATTCGTAAATCCCATAATCGTAAACGTAACCCCAATTCCCCATAACAGGGGACAGACGGCTCGAAAATCATCAAGTGTGATAACTAGGCTTAAAATTAGCACAATCCTCATAGAGAAATTACAACATCTACGATTCTGGTGATTTTTGTACTCAGTTCTGTCAGCAGAAGGCGCGCAGAGAGCTTCTGAAAATTAGTACGCAATTCGTAATTTACAACTGTTTTCCGAAGTAGGTACTTATGGCAAGCAGGAATGATAATTGACTTGAGTATGGTAAACGATAGTTGATGTTCAAGTCAAATATGGGTGGAATAATAATTTGGTATCATTAATTATTGGATTAATAATTAATTATGGTAGAATCGCCGTAAAGAGAAGCAGCGAAGATTGAGTGCTACGAGTACGTGCTAAAGATCGCCTGGCCAACGAGCAAGGCTCAGGGTATGATGCAAGGAGCATATACAGGGCTTATCCTTACACTTTTGGCTTCCGATTACCCCGTCCCAACTGCGGGTGGCTGTCTTCCCACGATGGATGGATGGCGAGATACAGAGCCGGCCTACATATCTGATTGGAGGGAGTGTCCCCAACCAGGTATCTCCCACTAGCACAGCACTTCCCCAGCCTGGGCAATCTCTAAGCTTTCGACTGATCTCCAGACATGTGGTTGTGTAGTGCGTATACTCGTAGGTGTGTGTATGTGTTTAAGTAGGTGTTGGACAAGGAAGTAGGATAGTTTGCGCGCGATATATTTTTTGGGTACTACTCTGGCATTCGTCTGATATTTTATGTATAAACCACGTAAAAATATCTATTAGAGCAACCCGTCGCTATAATTCTGTAAGTAGGTAGTGTTTAGAATCTCGCCACAGTCGGGACTCGAACAAAAAGAGCAGACAGTATTTGTTGACTAGAAAAGTAAATCTTCTGACGTTCATTTAACGAAAACGAATACAATGCAATTGAAGTGTTCTGTGCCTGAATAGCAGAGAAGAACAAGCATGAAGTGTTTCGTGTTGGACGTCTAAGAACATTGTCTCTTTCAAAACCGACTAGGTATTGTGCATGGACATAGCGAGTACCTCGTGACCCTGAGTATTGACCCTAGGGCTACTGTTTGGGCAGATCCGCACTAGGTAATATAAATGAAGTGCTTGCCGGTAGGTTTTGCCCCTTTAGGTTTTTTCTTAGCCATACTTTCTGTTCTCGCGGCATTGATGCGATGGAGAGACCACTTATGGTGAATATCGAAATTCGAAAGGTTAGAACGCGTAAGGATTTAGCTTTGTAATGTCTTCAGCCTAGCTACATAGTATCAACTTTTGTAACTATATATGTGTAATAATTACCTATTAAATAAAAAATAAAAAATTGCTGTAGAACCCCGGTATTCCGAACAATATGTGATCTGTTCAAATTAGGATTATCCGAAAGAAATATACCGTACATATAGAAATACATCTTTGGAATTATCAGACAATACAACATATTGTGTGATGTGAGAAAATGGCAAACGTAGCGTAGCGACATTCGGAAGTGACAATGTTTGTAAACAACGGAGTACAGTACGTATATCACCGATCGATGTAGTAGAAGTTGCTACGTTGTTTAGAAATCTGAAGCACATTTTGTGTCGCAGCTGTTAACGGGTATTCTACGTAAGGTATTCAGAATTGGATGACTCTCGTACACTGTGAAGTCGTAGGCTTGCGCGGCCGGAGACTTGTGAATGATCTTGGCTGTCCGGGTGACGAAGGCTGTGTTTGCTGTTGTTTCGACCATCTTAATCAACCATGGTCTCTATGCAGATCAGGCCCGATGAAAGACCAAGATAAGATGCGTCGAAATGTCGGCAACAAGCCTTGGTCGGGGCGCTCACCGGACAGCCCCAAAATCATCATTACGCTTACACTGTCTTCAGGCTTTTTCGTTTCATAGTTTATGAATAGTTTACTTTTTTTCTAATATATATAATAATTCAATAGTTAATTATTCAATAGTTTTCATTCAATCAAATACTATTATTTTTAATTTTTTTCTCCATCGGAGTTTGTTCGGGATTACCTGAAATTTGGGAATTTGCAGGTTTCGATTAGTGATGGGTATAGTAAAGGCAGTGCAGGTTCCGAATGCGGTGTGGTGGTGTAGAGTCTGCAGCCCTTGTTCTGTGCGCAGGAGGCGCCCCGGCGCCCGCGCGGAGCGGTGCGTGCGCGCTCAGGGCCTACGCTGCGATGGCCGCGCGTCCGCGCCTGCTGACTCGCCTTCGCCATGCTGGGCCTGAACCTGCTGTGCTGCGCCCGCGCGCGCGGCCCGCAGCCGCGCCTGGAGCCCCCGCGCTCGCGCCCGGGGGCGGGGACGGGCGCGGGGCGGGGCGCGGGGCGCGGCCGCGAGCCACGGGCCGCCGCTTGGCGGGGAAGTCCCCGCCGCCCCCGCCGCCGCCGCCACGCGCCAAGCCGTCGCCGGTGCAGCGAGGGAAGTCGCAGCCGCAGATACGATGCATGTGAGTACTGCACATTTCATGAGGCTTTGATGATTTTCGCATTCGCAGATGCATGTGAGTACTGCGCATTTCATGATTTTCATGAGGCTTTGAGTACTGCACACTATAAGGGATGTCATGATGTTTTGAGTGCTGCACACTATAAGGAATTTCATGAGACTTTGAGTACTGCACACTATAAGGAATTCCATGAGGTTTTGAGTGCTGCACACTATAAGGATTTTCATGAAACTTTGAGTACTGCACGCTATAAGGATTTTCATGAGGCTTTTAGTACTGCACACTATAAGGATTTTCATGAAGCTTGGAGTACTGCACATATAAGGATTTTCATGAGACTTTGAAGGGCCAACGGGCGTGACACTTTTGCGGTTCGTTCATAATGACTCTTATAGTACCAATTAAATATTGGTTATATTTAATTTTGGAAAAATGTTTATTATTTCATCACCTGTTACACTGTCGCACATACTCATTAAACAACTTTTTTTTTACTTTAACAACTGCGCGTTTCTGTTCTTCACTCATTTTTTACCAAAAAGTAGGTATGTACGTACGTAGATACGTTTGGTCCCTAAACGCTTCATATTCTCTACGATATTTTCATCCTGTGACCTATTAGAGAATGTTGGAAGATTCGAAGAAACATTGCCAAGAAGACGGTTTACTGATACAGAACGATCAAGGGCTTTTAATAGCTCAAATGTACATTAATTTCAAAATGTGAGCTCTTACAAGAAGAATTCGCGTGTTTTCCTTTCCATGTATTAGAAGAATGTCGCGTAAGGAAATGACAAAACTGTCAAAATTAAACCGTTAATTGTTTTAAATTGAAGAGTATGAATATTACATATTCATTCTTTGCAATTTAAAACATAAAGTTGAATAAACGCAAATTAGGATGTTGATAAGTAAATGAACGATGTAGACGACTTTCATTAGTTTAACATTCATTTCTTCCCCTCTCGCATTTAAACTCTTGATTTACTTACTAGCTACGATAGTCCACTTACGTCAACTCAACATATGCCCCGAGTCAACGTAACTGAGCAGTATTTAACGTGAGGCTGGTCACGTGTTGTCAAATGAATATGACGTGCAACTTCATAACAAATGAATGTCTTTACAATATTTTGTTCTATTACTAAATGCATTCAACAATTGTCATTACAATAATATTTTCTATTGAAATTCGTAATTTAAAAATCTACCAGATTACTAAATAATTATTCTGAAAATTTAACTGTTATTAACATTCTCATAAAAATGGTACAGATAAGCAAATAAGAGAAATTTTATTTGAACGTTGGAAATTATCTTTTAGGTAAAAAGGCTAGTGAATCATCGACCAGTTTCACGCTCTAGATATGGGTTCTGCATATGACTCACAAGTTGTTGCAGCGGGTGCGGCGTGTTGAACGAGTATAAAGTCTTTACTGGCAACTCTACATACAATACATCTTCAGAATTAAACTTTTGCGAAAGATTCATCTACCGAGGTTTTAGACTCTAGAGAATAAGAAAAACTTAAGAATAATGGACGCCTTTTCGCATTTTTTATTCATCCACTAGTTTCACTTACTCCTTCATTATTTTAACTACTCCCTCGACTACAAATGCATTCAAATTATAACATTCCGGTTTTACTAAGCCCTGAATGAATAACTTATCCCCGTCTCAGTCTGTATGAAATGAAATGTTTGTAAGCATAAAGATATTACGACCATCTTACAACACATGATTAACGACTCAAAGAAGTGGGGGAGATTGTGAACCGGTTTGTGCGTATCGTTAGAGGCAAATAGCATTGGATGCTCAACCTTTTCTTAAAAGTCGATAAAAAAGGGTGCAGGGTTGTAAATTAACACGGAATCTCCACGGCCTTTAGATATTTCTCGCTTTGAAGAAGTAAAGGTGTCGGTGTAAATAAAAAGCCACACAAGTTCCTTCCAGACGAATGGAAGCGTTTACTTTCATTTCCCACGTAACCCAGTTGAGAGAAATATGCTTTCAATCGCTTCCATAGGAAATGTGGGTGTCTCTTGAAGAACAGACAGCAAATAACTCAACAGAATGTCCCTTTCATGATAAACAATTCAACTTGAAAAATCCCTGGATGTAAAATCTATATTTCTCTTGTATACAATTTCCAGTAACCTGTTGCACAGAACAGATTACTGTTGTTTTCAGTTTCCCAGACGCCCGGTCTCTTATTCCCGTTCATGTAACGGCGTCAGGAAGATAACCCATCAGGAAGCTGATTGTATCTTAATATTACGAGACTCATTTTCTGCCTGTGTACCAAACTCTTCCGCTCTGGTGCTGATAAACTATGAGATGCACAGACAATTACAACTACCGCAGTAATTGTCTGGGCATCTCGTAGTCAAATACCCAATACTGGGTTAAAACGGAGAGATAACATTATCAGTTGCTGTCGTGAAGGTGTAGAATCGTATGAGTCACTCCGTAGTTTACGTTGTAAAATACGAGTCCATGCGAACATTTTCATAAAAACCTTAACATATACACATTTTTCTTCTGTTTTATAATAATAATAATAATAATAATAATAATAATAATAATGTTTTAAATTGCCAGGTAACATATTACATGACAGATCTATAGAGTAATTATTCATTACAAACGCTGTATCACTCTCATTTAAAAACCTTGAAGAATCAGTTTCCGTGCTTCCAATTCATTTCTCCCCTCTCGCATTTAAACTCTGATTTGCTTACTAGCTACGTAGTCCACTTACGTCAACTCACATAGCCCCGAGTCTAACGTAACTGGACAGAATTTAACGTGAGGCCTGGTCACGGTTGTCAAATGAATATGACGTGCAACTTTTATAACAAATGAATGTCTTTACAATATTTTGTTCTATTACTAATGCATTCAACAATTGTCATTACAATAATATTTTCTATTGAAATTCGTAATTTAAAAATCTACCAGATTACTAATAATATTCCTGAAAATTTTAACTGTTATTAACATTCTCATAAAAATGGTACAGATAAGCAAATAAGAGAAATTTATATTTGAACGTTGGAAATTAATCTTTTAGGTAAAAAGGCTATGTGAATGCATCGACCAGTTTCACGCTCTAGATATGGGTTCTGCAATATGACTCACAAGTTATTGCAGCGGGTGCGGCGTGTTGAAACGAGTATAAAGTCTTTACTGGCAACTCTGCATACAATACATCTTCAGAATTAAACTTTTGCGAAAAAGATTCATCTACCGAGGTTTTAGACTCTAGAGAATAAGAAAAACTAAGAATAATGGACGCCTTTTCGCATTTTTATCACCACTAGTTTCACTTACTCCTTCATTATTTTAACTACTCCCCTCACTACAAATGCATTCAAATTATAACATTCCGGTTTTACTAAGCCCTGAATGATAACTTATCCCGTCTCAGTCTGTAGAAATGAAATGTTGTGTAAGCATAAAGATATTACGACCATCTTACAACACATGATTAACGACTCAAGAAGTGGGGAGATTGGTGAACCGGTTTGTGCGTATCGTTCGAGGCAAATAGCATTGGATGCTCAAACCTTTTCTTAAACGTCGATAAAAAAGGGTGAAGGGTTGTAAATTAACACGGAATCTCCACGGCCTTTAGATATTTTCGCTTTGAAGAAGTAAAGGTGTCGATGTAAAATAAAAAGCCACACATGTTCCTTCAGACGAAGGAAGCGTTTACTTTCATTTCCCACGTAACCCAGTTGAGAGAATATGCTTTCAATCGCTTCCATAGGAAATGTGGGTTTCTCTTGAACAGACAGCAAATAACTCAACAGAATGTCCTTTCCATGATAAACAATTCAACTTGAAAAATCCTGGATGTAAAATCTATATTTCTCTTGTATACAATTTCCCAGTAACCTGTTGCACAGAAACAGATTACTGTGTTTTCAGTTTCCAGACGCCCGGTCTCTTATTCCCGTTTCATGTAACGGCGTCAGGAAGATAACCCATCAGGAAGCTGATTGTATCTAATATTACGAGACTCATTTTCTGCCTGCGTACCGAACTCTTCCCTCTGGTGCTGATAAACTATGAGATGCACAGAAATACAACTACCGCAGTAATTGTCTGGGCATCTCGTAGTCAAAATCCCCAATACTGGGTTAAAACGGAGAGATAACATTATCAGTTGCTGCCGTGAAGGTGTAACAATCGTATGAGTCACTCTGTAAGTTTACGTTGTAAATACGAGTCCATGCGAGCATTTTCATCAAAAAACTTAACATACACACATTTTTCTTCTGTTTTATAATAATAATAATCATAATAATTAATAATAAATATAATTATAAGAATAATAAAATTAATAATAATAAGAATAATAATAAAATAATAATAATAATAATAATAATAAATAATAATAATAAAATATAATAATAATAATAATAATAATAATAATAATAATAATATAATAATTAATAATAATAATAATGAATAATAATAAATAAATCATACCCAATACCCACAACATTCGGGAAAATATCAAGAGAAGATCCAGAAGTATACCAATCTCGCCTATGAAGTCGCAACTCAGTGGAACTTCAGTAAAGTGACGAACTGTGCCTATAGTAATATCAGCTACGGGAGTGATCCGAAAATAGAACTTCGGCACTGGAGTGTCTTCACTTGGATACCAGAATGTATATAATATGCAAAAGACAGTAATTTTGAATACATCCGTATTGTCAGAAGCCATCTGAACCTTCAGTAAAGCAACCACACACCTGGTCATCATACCTGTGTGTGGTTGACATACCGACCAGTAGATACTGTGAATAATGTAAGATAATAATAATAATAATAATAATAATAATATAATAATAATAATAATATAATAAATAATAATAATGTTTTAAGTTGCCAGGTAACATATTACATGACAGATCTATAGAGTGATTATTCATTACAAACGCTGTATCACTCTCAATTTAAAAACCTTGAAGAATCAGTTTCCGTGCTTCCATTAGCATTCTATTTCAATAACATTGCAACCCAGCATTCCCTTCCTAAGCCCTCCCTGCCGCTTTGCATAACCCGCACCAGATCACACTTCCCCTCCCTCACAGTCACACCCACAGCGCCATCACCACCTTTACTCCCTCAGCCTCCCCCTCTCACCCTTCCCTTCAGCCCCACCTCCTCAAACCCTCTCCCTCAACCCCTCACCTCCTCTCCCCACCCTCTCTGCCCTTAATTTCCGTCACCACTCATCACACAGCCCTCCAGCCTCCTCACGCACTTCCTCCTCTCCCGCACATCCTCCACTCTCTTCGGTCTCACACCGTTTTCTAAGCCATACCTCTCCTTCAACGCCTCACCCCTCCACGCCCACCCCTCCACGCCACCCCTCCACGCCACCCTCCACGCCCCCACTCCTCCACGCCCACCCCTCACGCCAACCCTTCATGCCCTCTATTTCTTGTCCTCTCTCTGTGTCTCCCTCCTTGCCCTTCCCACCTCCCCTCCCCCTAAAGCCGCTTCCCTCATTACCCCTCCATTCATTCCCTTCCCATCCATTCCTATCCCTTCCATGTCCCTCCTCTAACCGTCACGCCCGGTGTGGTGAGCCGGGCACTACTGAAAACGAACATAATGAAGCGGGCATTCGGCTTGAACGCGCGCCGGCGCGCGCGGGTAGCGAGCGGGCGGCGGAGCGGAGGCGGCCGCCCGCCAGACCACGCCCCGCCCCCCACAACGGAATGGAGTGGCAGGGGGGCATGGTTCATTAAATCACCGCGTGCCGCCTTTCGGTTCCCAGGCGAATGCCAATGAACCGAAGCGATGAAGCTGGCATGAAAACCACAGCTGTCCCCCACATGCAGCGCTGCGCCGCATGGAAAGAGTGCACGGAGAACGAGGCGGCAAGGTGAACATAAAGGGGGGAAATAGTACGCAGTGGAATGAATTGGAGTAGTACGAATAATTGTGAAAAATAATAAGACTATTGTGATGCATTTCTATAACATTCAAATGTCCGCCCTTCCCTAACCACTCTTGCTGATCTTCGCGCCCTCCGCGCCCTCTGCCGCCTTCGCCCTCCGCCACCCTCCGCCACCCTCCGCCACCCCCCAGATCTCGCACCTTACCGCTAACAATTTGCCACCCTCTGCGCCCTCTGCCGCCTCCGTCGCCCTCCGACACCCTCCGCCACCTCCGCCACCACTCCACCGCCTCTCCGCCACCCTTCACAGCCTCTGACTGACCCTCGCGCTCTCCGCCGCCCTCCGCCACCCCCGCCGCCATCCGCTGCCCTCTTGCCTACACTCTTCCCGCCCTCTGCTCGCTCTCTGTCCGCCCTCTGCGTCCCTTTGCCTGCCTCCGTCGCCCTCTGCGCACCCTTGTTTTTCCCCCTGCCCACGCCTCTGCCCACCTTACCTGGCAACTGCCCGCCCTACGCGCCTCCATATCCCCCCCGTCGCCCCTGCCCCTCTCTACCACCTGCCACCTGGCCCTCTTCCCGCCTCTTCCGCCAACGCCCACCGCCAACCGCCTGCGGACCCTGCCGTCCTCTGCCGCCCCCCGCCGCGTGCCACCGCCCCTTCCCATCGCCTCTTCCCCTGGCTTCCCGCCTCTTCCCGCCCCCCTCCCCACCCGCCGCCTACCGCCTCTGCCTCGGGCAGCACGTCGCCCGGGCCGGGGCCGGTGTCATGATCGCTCACGGCGTTGCCGACGCTTCCTGCCGGCCTAATGAAGCATGCGAGCGCGGCGGGCATTGGGCCTGCTTGATTACGAGCGTGATTCGTTTTAAATTCCTCCGCTTCCGGGAATTTCCGAAGCTCGCTTGCGGTGAACACCTTGTGATTTATACACTGCCTGACTCTCCGCGCGAGAATTTATTCTAAACGATTGAGCTGCCGCCTGAAACGAGATTATTGGTGCATCTATTTGTTTATTTGACTTCCACGTGTCCTTGGAAGAAATATATTGGAGGTCGGTAGGAATGTGGAACAAATTCGTACATTTTAAATAATCATTTGTGGTTTATTATTATATTGATTGAATTTATATTTTTAATATTAATGTGCCTTGGAAATAGATGGATAATTTAGGTAGTATGTGAGATGGTCTGGGGAAGACCATCATGAATATTCTCAAAACCTCTATTGCATGCTCCATTTTCGATTCGTAACAAGCGGAAACATCTTTCGATTTACGCATATTTGAGGTAACACACCCTCCCAACTAACATGTGAAACGAATACTATTGTGCTTTTGATGATTCATTTGATCTTCTCGGTGCCTGGGGTAGAAAGCATATTCTATGTGCCTAGGGAAGAAAAAAGATTGTAAACCATAGGAATGTGATATATGAGAAATGGTTATTTCCCAACGATTGTTACTGTAATGATGAGAACGTATTGAGCGTGAACGTGTTATGCGTCTTATTGTAAGTTAGAACGGTACATCTGCACGTAATTTATGAACATCTTTTTCTTTTCAGTGAAGAAAAGAAACAAAATAATACAATTACCTAAATAATGATGTACTCAATAACACCTTCGTAATAAAATACGCATTTGCCACACGAAGTTCTAAGTACGAATCAAAGAAATTCCTTTTGTCTATAGAAGGAATTCCTTCTGTACACGTATACCTTGATCAATTCATGAAATCAAAAAACTAATATCACACAAAAATGTGAAGTTTCAAAATACTAAATCATTAAGATCGCAATGTCAAGCACAGGCAAATCCTTTCTGTACTCATATACATTGATCATTTCACGAATCAAACAAATAGTTTTGCGAAGTCCTACATATACTAAATTCATAAGACGGCAATGTCACACACAGCCAATTCCTGGGAATGTAGGTCACGCTAGACCATCGCTCCGAAAACACGCTTTCCCCATTTCGCGCATACGTCCGTTGTCATGTCGTTTAATTGCCACTCGAGTAACAGAAGCCGCTGTACGCAAAGGCCTTTCGGCCGCCGCGCGACCTACGGAGGGCGATCGAAAGGCGAAGGCGTTGCGAAGAGGAGCGCCGCTCTTTGCTGACTGCGACTAACATCGCCTCTCGCAGCAAAACACGCAGCACTAGTGTTTGCATGCGGCGCCGGCGAAGCTATGCGACCGCGAAACTCGCAACGCGGCGCCCCCCTCCTCCCTCCCCCTCCCCACCCCTCTCCACCAGCTGACCAGTCCCGCCACTGCCTTCGCCGGCTCCCATTCACCCTCAGCCGGCTCCCCCACATTTCAGACTTTGATTAAAGTATGTACGACGTACCAAGTACTGTGATGTACTGGTATGTTACTGTATGTACTTGTATGTACTGTTATGTAACTGTATGTACTGTATGTACTGTAATGTACTGGTATGTAACTGTATGTACTGTATGTACTGTATGTACTGTATGTATGTATGTACTGTATGTACTTAATGTACGTATGTATGTATGTACTAGGCGC